GAGGGTTAACGATACGCGTCCACCCCCGCGAGTGCTTAATTGATTTCCCCCGGTCGCTGAAAACTCGCCTGTAATTGAGCAGGACATTAATAACTCCGCGCGCTGAATAATTCGAACAAACGTACGTCCCCAAAGTCTCGGGAACGTGCCGGAGAACTTATCGATTTCAGATTAGCACGTAAATTGGCAGGCAAGAGGGAGGATGCACAAGCTTGGCGAGGCTGCAGAAAAGGGTGGCGGAAGTGGGGGGAGGGGGAGAGGAGCGTGCTTCCGCCCACGCATCCGCCTGTCCTCGGATCATTTGGGGATTCATTCTGATATTCTGGCTATTCCTCTTCTTTCTATATCCAGCGTTCTTTGATCGAAATTTGACCTCTCTTATGTTTTCCCCTGCCACTTTTCATCTTTCTTCTTCTGGAAACGTACTTTTTCTCAAAGTACATATATATGGTTCCCTAAAGATCGTCGAGCATCGAGAGAATCGAGGGCTTTCTTTTATACGATCGATTCCAATTTTAAGCTCGCGAGGAAGGCAAAAGAAGAAGGAAAGTTTTGCAACAGATGCCGTAGAACGGCCGAGTTAACATAACTTGCTCCGTCGAAAATGAAAAGAAACGTCATAGAAAGAAACACGAAAAATACAGATTTCAAGTATGAGATAAAAGGGAGAGAAATTTCGATCGGACCAGAAATATCTCCGGTATAATCTCGCATAACCCGATAATTGCGTATTTATTTCTCCTTTCCTCTCTCTCTCTCTCTCTTTCTATGTTCTCGTCTGTCTTTAGCCTAGACGAGAACACTACCCCATTATCGCCAGTCGAATGGGTTCGGGTTCGTTAACCCGGGGATACACCGATATATCGACGACGCGGCTTTATCCGGATGCCCGACTTCCACTGGATCATATGCAGTGTTCAGCAGACTCGATGAAAAAAATTCCCTGACTTTTTTAGATTTTTCAAAATCAGAAATGTATTTTCTCCCTGCCTTTTTAGTATCATCTTTTCCAAATATATAATTTGCATATATCTATACGATAAATCAATTAAATCATGAGATCCTTGAGATATTTTTGTCACCATTGAAAAGGTTCGGAAGTTAAAAAAAAAACACAAATTTAAATCAATTGTACAATCTGCATTATGTACGATAATCGAAACAAACATGTCACTAGAAACTATATAAATAATCACCTATTTTATTATATCAATTTTTTTTTAGTTTTGTCTCTATCAAACACATTGAAATAAAATAACACGACGATGAAAATATAAATTAATGAATCGATTTGTAACAACAATGAAAATCCTTTATCCGGATGCCCGACTTCCACTGGATCATATGCAGTGTTCAGCAGACTCGATGAAAAAAATTCCCTGACTTTTTTAGATTTTTCAAAATCAGAAATGTATTTTCTCCCTGACTTTTTAGTATCATCTTTTCCAAATATATAATTTGCATATATCTATACGATAAATCAATTCAATGTTAAATCATGAGATCCTTGAGATATTTTTGTCACCATTGAAAAGGTTCGAAAGTTAAAAAAAAAACACAAATTTAAATCAATTGTATAATCTGCATTATGTACGACAATCGAAACAAACATGTCACTAGAAACTATATAAATAATCACCTATTTTATTATATCAATTTTTTTTAGTTTTGTCTCTATCAAACACATTGAAATAAAATAACACGACGATGAAAATATAAATTAACGAATCGGTTTGTAACAACACAGAAAATTAGCGTGCTGGAAGTCAAGGAAAAGTTTACATTTATTTAATAAAAAGTTTCAAATTATTGAGACAAATGTGGAATAATGTGGAAAAAATCCAGATAAATAGTAAAACTTCCCGACTTTTTTCCCTGACAATTCCAGATTTTTAAAATTTCCCTGACAATGCCCGGTTTTCCAGATTTCCCTGACCGCTAGACACCTCGGTTTTTCTTCTCCCGTCGATATATCGCGTCGCGACCTTGATGACGATTCGCGTCGACCTTGCGTTTCGTTCGGACGGTAACGCGAGCGCATCAGTAACGCGATATCATCAGTAACACGATACAGCGTCATTTTTAACTTGGCGGAATTCCGATTTCGCATCGTTTTCGCGCAAACAGTTCATCGCGTTCTACCGAGAAAACTTTCGGACGATCCCGTATATATATATATATATATATATCGTCTCGGTCTTTTAACGCTAAATGCGCTCGGCTATCTCTTCCACGAAGATGCGCTTTTTTCTTCTTCGTTTTATCTCGAATTTCTTCGAGTGTGAAAAATGTTCCGCAAAATAAAAATGGAACGTAAAAACTGAAAATAACAAATTATATTTTGTCTTGCGCGTTCTCCGACATATATTCGGTGGAAATGCCTTCCGAATTTACGACAAGCATCGTCGAGGAAAGTATTTTATTTCGACCAAGGGTAAGAGAGAAGACGGCGATAATAAAGTAAATCTTCATCCGCGAAAGGAAGCGTTCATAAGCGTCGACCTGGCGCATTTTGCCGTTTCTCCGTGACGGTCGTTTATTATTGCCGGAGTTTGTTGCACGACGCGGAACGGCGGAAGTTGAGAGGCGGAAGTGCAATGCATCAGCGCCCGGTTCTCTTTTATTCGAGCTAAATGATCTCTCTCCGAAGATGAAATGCCCTTATTCATTTGCGAGTTTTGTATTATATATACGAGAGTATATGCACTAGATCTAGCGCCTGAAAGATATTCGCCGCGGGCGAAAATAAAGAGCAAATCGATGATGCGATGAGTTGAAAAATGCATTACATACCGGTTAGATTCTCATATGCTTTCTTATTACCGCGCATCAATCAATGATTGCTTGTCGATCAATCAATGCCAACGACATTCGAATAACAATATTTCATATATATGTGTGTGTGTGTGTGTGTGTGTGTTTATAAAATATTACTATAATTATATTATATATTATATAACTATATAATATAATACTACTATAATATTATATATATATATGTGTGTGTGTAATATTGTTATCAATAGCGACCGCGTGTAAAAATAATTACGTAAACGTAAAAATAAATACGTAAACGTGCTTTAATATACGTGTTAATACGAATGTCTCTATTGCTAATTGAACGCCCGATATTTTCGTCGACTTTTCTTAATCCGATATGCCTTCATAAATAATGAGAACTGAGGCACGTTCTCGTCGATAAAGCGTATCAAAAGACAAAGAATTAAAAATTGACGACACTATAAAGATGTACGAGAAGGCAGTTATTTTTATAAGAACGTATCCAGAAGATATATGTAGGAAACTTAACGGATACCCGTGTATCCGTGAAATTGCGATCCGAAAATAGGATCAAAGAGAAAATTGTGAGAATCCATTATACGTCTTCGAGTAATACTTTATTTTTCATTAACCTGTAATGTGGAATAATTCAGAAACCGCTGCATTTAATTGTTATTCAATCGAGAGAACAAGCCTCTATTTACAAAACCGCTTCTCTACGTGAACTAATTGTGGGTTTGTACATGCGTAAACGAGAAACACGAATAATTAAATGACCGGATATAGAGGTGAATTGAAAATTATATATACACAATAGAGAAACCAACGTTAAATCCCCCCAAAAATTGGCGATTTTTATTAAATATAAGTAAAAATTAAGTTTTTATTCTTTTTAATATTAATAAATTTTTATTAGAAAATATCAAAAATAAATTAATACAATTGTCGCTCGTATATTGAAAACAAAGTGATAAATATAAGGCCAACTTATCGAGCTGAATATTCGAGATGTTCAGTCAACTACCATTTATTACATGTATAAATTATAAAACTACAGTCATTATATTAAAACTAACGCAAATTACAATCATTCTATAAACGTTTCGACCGCACGCGGTCTTCTTCAGTATAATTATTGAAATATAAATTCTTACAATTCACATAATATCGAAATTTAATTATAGTTATTCAGAATCAAGAGTTTTTGAGTAATTAACGCGTGTTTCAATCCGTCCTGTCCAACCATGTTCGCCTCGATATGATCCCTGATTTTGTTCAGATCTCGGATAGTTTCATCGTTAATATGCGAGAAATTAACCCGTTCCGTAGGCGCTATCATCGTTCTTCTTGAAGAAAATATCAAGTTTCATTTTTTAATTTATCTGAAATTTGAGAAAAAAAACTCCCTCCCTCTTTAGAAAAATGTAACCCCTCCTCAGGGAGAGATAAAAGAGTGCCCTTAATTTTCAAAGAATCATCTCCTGAAATGTTCGCACTTATTTAGACGCACCCTGAACATACGCAGTCTACATCTGTCAGTATGTTACCTGTCAGTAAATTTGACCTCCCTCTTTAGAAAAATGTAATCCCTCCTCAGGGAGGGATAAAAGAGTGCCCTTAATTTTCAAAGAATCATCTGAAATGTTCGCACTTATTTAGGCGCACCCTGAACATACGCAGTCTACATCTGTCAGTATGTTACCTGTCAGTAAATTTTACCTCCCTCTTTAGAAAAATGTAACCCCTCCTCAGGGAAGGATAAAAGAGTGCCCTTAATTTTCAAAGAATCATCTGAAATGTTCGCACTTATTTAGGCGCACCCTGAACATACGCAGTCTACATCTGTCAGTATGTTACCCGTCAGTAAATTTTACCTACCTCTTTAGAAAAATGTAATCCCTTCTCAGGGAGGGATAAAAGAGTGCCCTTAATTTTCAAAGAATCATCTGAAATGTTCGCACTTATTTAGGCGCACCCTGAACATACGCAGTCTACATCTGTCAGTATGTAACCTGTCAGTAAATTTTACCTCCCTCTTTAGAAAAATCTAACCCCTCCTTAGGGAGGGATAAAAGAGTGCCCTTAATTTTCAAAGAATCATCTCCTGAAATGTTCGCACTTATTTAGGCGCACCCTGAACATACGCAGTCTACATCTGTCAGTATGTTAATGGGATAAATAAAAGAGATTAAGAAAAGGCAATTTCCCGGATGTTTCAGTGGGCGTGCGGGGGTGACTGGAGTGATGGGATGGGGCCAGAGCCCCATGGAGTTCGGGTAGACCCGTCTCCGGCCCAGCTCCCCAGCCCCCTCCGCCATCGATATCGACACCGCTCCTGCCAGCGACGCAGAGGGCCGCCTCGATCGCGATGGAGGCCTCTAGCAATCAACAACAGAAAGAGAAGGAGCCACGCATTCACAGGCCTTACGCCTTCGACAAGGTATATATATTATGTATTCCTCGATGTAAACAAATAACTCTTTCAAACGCAGCTAGAAAATAAATTTATCTCCCACTATAGTATAATAAACCAGGACGTCTAGCAGACTCGATGAAAAAATTCCCTGATTTTTTCATAAATTCATTTTTCCCTGATTTTTTTAGTATTATTGTTTGTTCCAAATATATAATTTACACGATATGACACGACGATGAAAATATAAATTGACGAATACGCAGATGTAGATGAATTGATTTTTAACGACAAATGTAGAATAATGTGAAAAAATGCAGATAAATAGTAAAATTTCCTGACAGTTCGAGATTTCTAAAATTCCCTGACAATGCCAGATTTCCTTGACCGCTAGACACCCTGATATAATAATCGATCGTCCCGTTGATTTTCTCTCTCACGCAGATGGAGGGGCTGGTGCGGGAGATGCAAGACCCTGAGAGCGGGGTACCCGTGCGCAGCCAAAAACAATTTCTCACCTCGATCCCTTCAGCGTTCATGGGTGAGTGCCATCGGTACCTGCGTTGTGGAGTAAGCGTAAGCGGCCATCACGGCCAGGACACTACAGTAGGCTGCCTGCGTGTTGCAGGTTACGACCTCATCGAGTGGCTGATGGAGCGGCTTGCCATCGAAGAATCAGGTACGGGCCCGCGTATGTGTCTACAACGCCGCGTTGTGTGTGATCGTGTCTCAGCTGTCCTCTTCCCACTAACATCTCGCTCGCTCGCTCGCTCGCTCGCTCGCTCGAACACTCGTTCGCTCGGACACTCGTGTCTTTGCCACGACGCCGCAGCCAACACGCGCAACCGCAACCGCTCTTGCCTGAGACGCTAACGACTAACACCATATCGATATACTCTATACGCTTCGCCGTTTCCGATCCGCATTTGCATCGATACTTTCCGCTTGGTGCCTTTCAAGTATCGATTACATATTAACACGTTACACTCTATGTAATACACGCAGGGGATAATTTACGCTTTCGTTCCAGTCGCGAATATTAATTATTTACAAATACATTGTGAATAATTTTAACAACTATCATGAAAGACTTAAATTCACGGTCGAACAAGAGGTTAACCATAGCTTGAATTTCTTAGATTTATCACTTAAAATTATTAATAACAAAATATATATAGACTGGTATCAAAAAGAAACCTTCTCAGGAAGGACGTTATCATTTTATTCAAACCACCCACTATGCCACAAAATAGGAATAATATATAACCTTGTAGACAGATGTTTATTGCTATCACATCCACTATTTTTTAATAAAAATTTGGAGTTAATTATTAATATACTCAGAAGCAATGGTTACCCTCTTGATCTGATTTTTAACAAAATTAATCATCGGATAGAACACATCATATCTAAGGGGAGCATTATAGAGAGACAGGCCAACATAGAAAGAACAAAAAGTATAAGAAATGACTCGGTCAATAAAAAATTCTTTGTCATTCCGTATATAGATGGGATCTCAGAAATGATTGTTTCCTCGGTAAAAAATAAAAATTGTATGGTAGGGTATAGATGTCTCAACAAACTGGACAATATTATTAAAGCGCAGAAAGATAAAACTAAACATCCATGCAATTCGAATGTGGTTTATAAGATCAGTTGCAATAATTGTAATGCATCTTATGTAGGCCAAACAAAGAGGCAATTGCAGACGCGAATAAAAGAACATAAAATAATATTAGGTTGGACTCAACGAAACATTCAGTAATTTCTGAACACATAATAAATGAACATCATACTTTTAATTGGGACAATGTTAAGATCATGGACAACGAAAATAATTATTATAAAAGACTCATTTCTGAGATGCTACATATCAAGGAACAAAAAAATGGACTAAATTTAAACAAAGATACTGAGTTACTTAGCGAGTCGTATTTTGATATTTTGGATATATTAGCGAACAAGAAATAATAATAGGACAAATAGGACATTAACGAGTAAAACATAGATATTAGATCATATATAAACACGCACGCTCTCCGATCAAGTAGAGTTTAAAATGAGCTGTCTTTCTGTATTGTTGGTTTGTTATGTGTCATCCTTAGTAACTGTTAATAAGTAACAAAATTATCAAGAAGAACGATGATAGGTAAGCATACTACCAATTGTAGGGGATACATATTATAATTTGGACATGCGTTGATCGGTAATTTTTTATAAATCGCAGCGCCTACGGAACGGGTTAATTTCTCGCATATTAACGATGAAACTATCCGAGATCTGAACAAAATCAGGGATCATATCGAGGCGAACATTGTTGGACAGGACGGATTGAAACACGCGTTAATTACTCAAAAACTCTTGATTCTGAATAACTATAATTAAATTTCGATATTATGTGAATTGTAAGAATTTATATTTCAATAATTATACTGAAGAAGACCGCGTGCGGTCGAAACGTTTATAGAATGATTGTAATTTGCGTTAGTTTTAATATAATGACTGTAGTTTTATAATTTATACATGTAATAAATGGTAGTTGACTGAACATCTCGAATATTCAGCTCGATAAGTTGGCCTTATATTTATCACTTTGTTTTAATTATTTACGCTGAATTTGTTCTTAGAGAATTTACCCTGAAAATCATATGGTAATTGGAGGACAATATTGGAATTTTATGAAAGTTTCTCGCTGATTTAATATTTATCTATACCGCAATAAGATATAAAATATATATGTTCGATTAATTTTACTATCTACATATTAATATTTTTTATTGTGGTTAATAGGGTTGGGTAAGTTAATGATTTTTTTAAACTAAGTTAAGTTAAAAGTTTATGAACAAAAAATTAACTTTGGCTCTTATTGCCTATCTTATATATGTTAAATTTATATTTATATTACAGAGCCTAGTTAAACTCTTAATTTATACACGCTGGCTTAAAGGCGTTTATTTACCAACATTAATATATATAACAGAGAAAAGTATAGAATCGAAAGGATCTGAATAGCTCAGTTGGAAGAGCAGTCGCCGGCAAGCGAAAGGTCTCGGGTTCGATTCCCGATTCTGCGACTTTCGGATCTATATTTTTCTCTCGCACTTTATTTCTTTAGGGGGAATAGGGGATACATGGAATTAAAAATCTCTTGTAGAGATTATTCCAATTGTATATCTTGGCAGTGTCCAAGTAAAAATTTGGTGCCTTGTGCACAGGTATTTAATTCTAACGAAAAAAATTTAGTTTCGTTTAGAATAACGCACTGTCATCCGCGATTTGGCTCTTATTGCCTATCTTATATATGTTAAATTTATATTTATATTACAGAGCCTAGTTAAACTCTTAAAATTAACTCAGTTAAAATTAAGTTAGGATTAAATTAATTGAAGTTAAATCAAAAGTTAATTTTTAAAAATATTATTTATATTAAATTAGAATTTTGTTTGTTAATTCTTTTCAAATAACAAATAACAAAGAAATTTTGATTTTTATATAGAAATATATTTTTTGGTAATTACAATTGATGACAAATAAACATAAAAATTAATACTTTAATTTAAAAATAATTCGTTTATAACTTAACTTTATAAAAAAACAATCATGGGATTCAGAGATAAAAGAATTTAATTTGGGAAAAAATTAATAAGTTTAAAGTAAAAAATAACTAGTTGAAGTTAAAAATTAATACTTTTTAAATTAACTAAGCTAAATTAAAAGTTGTTAACTTTTTAACTATTTTTTATCTTTTAACTAATTATTACCTAATCCTGCTAAATATTAACTCTTATAAAATTCTTCCAATTCCTCTATCTATTATCCCACAATTACCATAATTTTCAGGGTAAATTTTAAGAGAAAACTTTCTCCGTTATCGAAAACATATACCTATAATGATGATGTTATACACACGTGAGAAAATTCGTGACGGATTAAAATATTTTTCGGTTCTTTTCGAATGCGAGCGACGATTCGTCCGCGTGCAAATGAATAAATGTAAATTTCGTCGAAAATCTGTTCCGTTTTATCGCGCGAGGCATCGAGTGAATTTACAGAAAATTAATGTCCTCGTAACTCTTGATGAGATAGTTGGGGAAATCGCGGATAGTATTTATTTACCGAGAATACATTTACGTGTGCGACAGGTAAATCTAATTGAAACCAAATTAATTATTTGACAAGTAAAAGAATATTTAGAGAGTTGATATTACCTTCCCGACGAGAGCACCAACGTCAAAGCAGCGCACAGTTTACATTTCCCATAATGATAGCAAAATTATAATTTAATATGGACGTCGACGTATAAATATACGTTCGCTGGAAAGAGTTGCGAACAGACAGATTCTACTAAAATACGACACACAGAGCAATGTCGCATCGTTTGAGAGAACCTGCACGACCCTAAACGACAATTAGAGGCTTTCGTCGATGTAAGTGTCTCCTCAGATATCAAAGTGTGTTATTATGTTTGACAGTAGAGGCGGTCCATATTGCTAATCAACTATGCCAGTATGGCTACTTCTTCCCAGTGAATGACTCCAAGACACTCACTGTAAAGGACGATAGCTCTCTATATAGATTTCAGGTATGTTACACAGCTTCCGGAATTAATATAAAGAAAGAAACATAATTCTTAAGTCTCTCTTGTTCGGTATCTCATCTAATTGCTTATCTTGAAAATTGATGCGCGTAGACACCCTATTATTGGCCGTGGCAACACAGAACCCCTGACAATGTCGAGCACGCGATCTATCTGGTTAAACGAACTCTGAAGAACAAACAACGTCACGCTCTCGAGGACTATGAGATCGTACGTAATGATATCGCAATAAAACAAGCAATTGACATGCGTATTTAAGGACACTCGTGAAAATAAATCGTACTGTCTTTAGGTAGAATTCAACCGCCTGCGCACGAACTTGCAGAACAAATGGGATATAATACAACTACAAGCAGAAGAGCAGGTGACTAACTCCGTCGCTATCGCGCAATTATTTTTCATTTTATCAATACACACATATACACGCATATATACATACATACACACAGTGTGTGTTCTATATAAATAAGATACTATTATATTTTTTCATCAATAAGTAACTTTTTTCTTTGGCAAATTTTTTAAAAATACATCGTTTTCATATCTACATAAATTACCTATTTAATTTTTTTAACATGCTACTTGTAGAATATATGTTGTTTTTTATTATTTGTGTAATGATTCTTCATAAGTACATAAAAATTTTAATAATTTTGTTGTAATTAAGTTTAATATTTGCATTATACATAAACATTACCATCTATTTTTATATAAGAGTGGGACAACACATTGCTACTATTGTTGCTTTTATTTATTTTATATGAACTCAAATAACATTTCTTTAAATGTTAATATTATCATTAAAAATATAAATATTTGATTTAATTATAAGAAAATTTATCAAAAGTTTTAAATAAAAAGTTATTTACGTGAAGAATCAAAAAATAGCAAATGCATATTAAAAAGGCATTGTTAATATGCATATTAAAAAGTGAGATATCTCGAAAATTAATATGTATAATAAATATGCATAATTTACATAATATACATATTAGCATATTAAAGTGAGATATCTCGAAAACGATACATTTCTGAAAAATTTGTTTAAAAAAAGATGTTGATCTTTTGACAAGGATAGTATTTGTCTGTATTCTATATTTATACAGACAATCACACACATACATTATATGGTTCCATGTAATACCAAATTTCGCATATTCGAACACGCGACTTCTTGAAATGCTACTGATTGTATGGGCTCAGGTACGCCTGTCCAAGGAGCGCAAAAAAGGGGACAAGATAGTGAGCGACTCGCAGGAACGAGCATTTTGGAGGGTTTATCGGCCGCCACCCGGTTGTCTCAGTAGCCTGGAAGTCGTGCCTGTACCTACTCGTTTTCGTCCCGGATTTCCACGACCACCGTCACGGAAACGCACCCTTACCGATTTGCAACGTGAGGTGAGAAAAACGCGTCGATCCCTCTGTTTAAAGACCCGCTTTAACTAACACGCCCGGATTAATTTTATTTATTTACACAGGATTGTGTACATTTGTGTTTTCTTGTTACAACAGTCCCGCCGTGAAAATTTTTATATTAAATATTTGACATATTCATGTGTTAATTTAACATGTTACTGTTGCATCATTGAACTTAAATGTTAAATTATAAAACGAGTGAAAAAGATGTAAAAATAACACAATGTGCATCTATTTTTAATTTTACACAATAAATATATTCTGTTTCATTAGCAACAAGATTTATCTGTTAAAATTTACAGGAAAAAATGTTGATTTTTTATTTTACTAGACGAACGATAGCGCGCGCCATTTCTCAATTTTATACTAACTTCTAATACTTTAGAACTTGTCAAAAATACATTTTTCCTAAGCATAATATTATTTTTCCTAATATTAGTTTTATTTTTCATAATATTAGCTTTGTTTTTCCTAATATTAGTATTATTTTTCCTCGGGTTAGTTTTATTTTTCCTAATATAATAATATGTTATAGTTTTTAATAATAATTAATTGAATAAAAGAGAAGTCACTGCAGTAATTCCCTCCCAGAAAATTAAAAAAAAAATTTAGTGCTCTGCATTTAAGCATTTAAATAATTATAAAAATTTTTTTACATATAATATATATTCAGCTTAATAATATTTATTAATTATATTAATTATACAGACATTAATTAATTATATTAATTATATTTATTCAAAGGTGTTATTATACAATATTATATTCAAATCCAATCATATTTCACAATAAAGATTTAGTTTGCGATTGCAAGACAATCGCGATTTCAGAAAATTGAAATAGGATCAAATTCAAAACTTTATTAATTTGCCTTTTTTCAACTTTTCTCGAATTTGTGATATGTAATTTATTCTGTATATATATATATTAAATTTTAATTTTTAATAACGCAGCATTCGAGCAACGACTCTAACGAGTATCGAAAAATTCAAACGACGTCAATTCTTTTCATCTGCTTATTCTGAGAACGAATATTTTTTTTTTCGACGACTACACGGTGTCTCGAACAAATAAGAATGAAATGATGCGAATGAAAATGTCAGAAATGTTACATTACGCAGATAATTAGTCGAAGAAAACTGTATAAATGCCTCTCTCTATATATATATTTCAGAGTATTACAACAATATATTTTAAATATAAAATTTTCTCTGAAATTTTTTATTTTTTTCACTTCATATTTTTTAAATAGATAGAATAAATAATTTTTCTATTCTATAATGTATAAATAATTTTGAAAATTTAATTCGGATTATAAGATAATGAATAGTATTTTCTAATTTAAATATTCTTATAGCAATAATGCTGTACATCTGCCTGTATGAAGTTAGCCCCCCATTTTTCGAATTTTAAAATTTTAAAGGTTGTTCCAGGTTGTTCTAGACTTGTTCTAAATTGTTCCAAAAGATCAAATTTAAAAAATAAAAATTTTCGCGAAAAATGGAAAAAAACGATTTTTTGACCTGGCCCCCCATTTTTCGAAAATCGAACTTTTAAAGGTTGTTCCAGATTGTTCTAGTTGTTCTAAACATTGTTCCAAAGTGATAATTCCCTAAACAAAATATTTCACGAGATATAATAAAAAAATAGTTTCGTGCGCTAAAACAGTATTTTTACGTTTTCGGCTATAGTTATTATCTCTTAAACACCAAACTGTATATTTTAGCTAAAAACGAACAGAACAACCTGGAACAACTCTCAATTTTGCTAGAACATAATTTTAAAGAGTACTTTACTCTTGGAAATAAACATATTTTTGTTGTTTTTTCGTGTTTTTCGACCGATAACGACGTGACAGCGATCCCAAACTATAGAACAATTACGTACTGGCATAGAACAACTTGGAACAACTCTCAGTTTTGCTAGAACATTATTTTAAAGGGTACTTTACTCTTGGAAATAAACACATTTTTTTTGTTTTTTCATCTTTTTTGCCCGCTAAAGTCGCGATAGCGGTCCCAAACTATAGAACAATTACGTACTGGCATAGAACAACTTGGAACAACTCTCAGTTTTGCTAGAACATTATTTTAAAGAGTACTTTACTCTTGGAAATAAACACATTTTTTTTGTTTTTTCATCTTTTTTGCCCGCTAAAGTCGCGATAGCGGTCCCAAACTATAGAACAATTACGTACTGGCATAGAACAACTTGGAACAACTCTCAATTTTGCTAGAACATAATTTTAAAGAGTACTTTACTCTTGGAAATAAACACATTTTTCTTGTTTTTTTATCTTTTTTGCTCGCTAAAGTCGCGATAGCGGTCCCAAACTATAGAACAATTACGTACTGGCATAGAACAACTTGGAACAACTCTCAGTTTTGCTAGAACATTATTTTAAAGGGTACTTTACTCTTGGAAATAAACACATTTTTTTGTTTTTTCATCTTTTTTGCTCGCTAAAGTCGCGATAGCGGTCCCAAACTATAGAACAATTACGTACTGGCATAGAACAACTTGGAACAACTCTCAGTTTTGCTAGAACATTATTTTAAAGGGTACTTTACTCTTGGAAATAAACACATTTTTTTGTTTTTTCATCTTTTTTGCTCGCTAAAGTCGCGATAGCGGTCCCAAACTATAGAACAATTACGTACTGGCATAGAACAACTTGGAACAACTCTCAATTTTGCTAGAACATAATTTTAAAGAGTACTTTACTCTTGGAAATAAACATGTTCTAGTAAAATTGAGAGTTGTTCCAAGTTGTTCTATGCCAGTACGTAACTGTTCTATAGTTTACGATCGCTGTCGCGACTTTAGCGGGCGAAAAAGATAAAAAAACAAAAAAAATGTGTTCATTTCCAAGAGTAAAGTACCCTTTAAAAATGATGTTTTAGCAAAACTGAGAGTTGTTTCAAGTTGTTCTATGCCAGTACGTAATTGTTCTATAGTTTGGGACCGCTGTCGCGACGTTATCGGTCGAAAAACACGAAAAAACAAGAAAAATGTGTTTATTTCCAAGAGTAAAGTACTCTTTAAAATTATGTTCTAGCAAAATTGAGAGTTGTTCCAAGTTGTTCTATGCCAGTACGTAATTGTTCTATAGTTTGGGACCGCTATCGCGACTTTAGCGAGCAAAAAAAAAAAAAAAACAAAAAAAATGTGTTTATTTCCAAGAGTAAAGTACCCTTTAAAATAATGTTCTAGCAAAACTGAGAGTTGTTCCAAGTTGTTCTATGCCAGTACGTAATTGTTCTATAGTTTGGGACCGCTATCGCGACTTTAGCGAGCAAAAAAGATGAAAAAACAAAAAAAATGTGTTTATTTCCAAGAGTAAAGTACTCTTTAAAATTATGTTCCAGCAAAACTGAGAGTTGTTCCAAGTTGTTCTATGCCAGTACGTAATTGTTCTATAGTTTGGGACCGCTGTCGCGACGTTATCGGTCGAAAAACACGAAAAAACAAGAAAAATGTGTTTATTTCCAAGAGTAAAGTACTCTTTAAAATTATGTTCTAGCAAAATTGAGAGTTGTTCCAAGTTGTTCTATGCCAGTACGTAATTGTTCTATAGTTTGGGACCGCTATCGCGACTTTAGCGAGCAAAAAAAATGAAAAAACAAAAAAAATGTGTTTATTTCCAAGAGTAAAGTACCCTTTAAAATAATGTTCTAGCAAAACTGAGAGTTGTTCCAAGTTGTTCTATGCCAGTACGTAATTGTTCTATAGTTTGGGACCGCTATCGCGACTTTAGCGAGCAAAAAAGATGAAAAAACAAAAAAAATGTGTTTATTTCCAAGAGTAAAGTACTCTTTAAAATAATGTTCCAGCAAAACTGAGAGTTGTTCCAAGTTGTTCTATGCCAGTACGTAATTGTTCTATAGTTTGGGACCGCTGTCACGTCGTTATCGGTCGAAAAACACGAAAAAACAACAAAAATATGTTTATTTCCAAGAGTAAAGTACTCTTTAAAATTATGTTCTAGCAAAATTGAGAGTTGTTCCAGGTTGTTCTGTTCGTTTTTAGCTAAAATATACAGTTTGGTGTTTAAGAGATAATAACTATAGCCGAAAACGTAAAAATACTGTTTTAGCGCACGAAACTATTTTTTATTATATCTCGTGAAATATTTTGTTTAGGGAATTATCACTTTGGAACAATGTTTAGAACAACTAGAACAATCTGGAACAACCTTTAAAAGTTCGATTTTCGAAAAATGGGGGGCCAGGTCAAAAAATCGTTTTTTTCCATTTTTCGCGAAAATTTTTATTTTTTAAATTTGATCTTTTGGAACAATTTAGAACAAGTCTAGAACAACCTGGAACAACCTTTAAAATTTTAAAATTCGAAAAATGGGGGGCTAACTTCATACAGGCTGTACATCTTATATTTCAAATATTATTTTGATAACATGTAATCTGCATCAATAAATTATTTTAGGAAGCTCAATAAAAAGTATGATATATAATTATAGAGAGAAACAGAACATTTTAATAGCCACATCAAGTGCACCGGTAGCATAAATATTGTGAAGTACATGAGTCAAATTTAAAACACTTATTTCCATTCGCTCTTTAAATAAATAACTGTATATAAATGTATCGTACAAATTCAACAGAGACGTGAAAAGAGACAAATTAATCAAATTTTAGACATAGGCAAAACTTAATTAAAAGTAATACGTGAACTTGATTATTCGGAAAATAATAAACAAAATTAATTTGTTGTCAGTTGCTAAAATTAATCTGACTTTATCATTTATCATAAGATAAGCGTTAATTCCGTTAAAATTACGTTTTTTTATTTTATTAATATTTTTTTTAATTCATTATTAACAACATAATTTCAATTTTAACATAATATTTTAGTAATATATATACTTTATAATTTTATTTTCAATATGTCAAAACATTTTTTTATATTTCTAAATTATAAATATATAAATACAATATATTTTTTTATTATATTCCTAAAAATAACAGTCAATCATTATTTTCCGAACAATGAGTTTTTTAATTTTGCACAATAAATATATTCTGTTTCATTAGCGACAAGATTTATCTGTTAAAATTTACAAATGATAAAATGTTGATTTTTTATTTTATAATATAAGTGAAGAGGATAAAATCTAAAATCAACATTTTTACATTAAAACAATGTTAATTTTGCACAAAATTTATTTTAAATTACCTAAAGTTTTGTACTTATTTTATGTTAAAAATATTAACACAGTATTTGTGTCTCCATTTAACATATCCATATTATGTTAAATTAACATAAAAATTTCTGTGGACCGTTTGGGACATGTAATATCTATTTTTAACACAAATTCTTCAACCGTGTAGGTGGACCTTTTACGGAACAGTTTGACACGCACGAGGATAAAGGTTTCGACTGCGATCGAAAATTTGAAATCATACTTCAACACGTACGTGGAATACGACCCGATGTTCGTACAGCCGCAACCTTCCAATCCATGGATCACCGACGATCATACGTTTTGGCAACTGAATAGTTCTTTGTAAGTAATATCGACATCTATATATATATATATATATATACGTTATCTAATATCGATGGCGAATCTAATAAAATAACTCGATCACGCGTTCAGAGTGGACGTTCCTACGGAGAAACGTGTTAAACGATGGGCGCTGTCGATGGAAGAACTTATGTCTGATCCTACAGGTAAAACTTTTTGATCGTATTAATACAACATCGTCTTCATCTCGTTAGAACGACTCTCACAAACGCCGTTCTCCCGCAACAGGTTTACAAGAATTCACAAGTTATTTAAGAAAGGAGTACAGTCACGAGAATATAAGGTTTTGGCAGGCAGTTAAAGATCTCAGGCACAGTTTTCAAGCACAAATACCTGACAAGATCAACGAAATTTTTAGGTACGCGCGTTATTATAATTATAATATTACAATTTAACTTTGGGAGAAAAACATTTATTTATGACGCGTTTAAACGAGCAGAGAATTCTTGGCGCCTGGAGCTCCCTGCGAAATCAACATAGATGGGAAAACGATGGAGAAGGTTCATCAAGAGATGAAAAATCCGAGCAGATTTACGTTTGATTCCGCCGCGGAGCATGTATATACGTTACTCCTGAAGAAGGACTGCTATCCTAGATTTATTCGCTCCGATCAATATCGTAATCTCTTAGCCGCTGGAGTGCAACCTTTACAAAAGAAGAGGTAGGTTCTCTCTTATTATTACACGGAGAAAATTTTCTCTTAGAATTTATCTTGAAAATCATGGTAATCGCAGGATAATAAGTATGGTGTTGGAAAAATTTTACAAGAGTTTTTCGCATTAATAATATTTACCACAATAAAAAAGATTAATAGGTACACAATAAAATTAATCGAGTATATATATTTTATACTTTATTGTCGTAGATATTAATATTTTATTGTGATAAATATTAATCAAAAAAAACTTACAAAATTCTTCCAATATTCTCCCACGATTACCATGATTTTCAGGGTAAATTCTAAAGAAAAAAATGTTCTCTGTGTATGTACATAATTAACATAATAAACGTGCTTCGAGAAACTAAAGGGAAATCTCCGATCGATTTTTTCACAGATTTTTCGTCTTTGGCGGCCAAGCCAAGAAGAAAGTTTCCTCCACTTCGACACCGACGTCTAGCACTTTGCAGCACGCTAATATAAGTAGCAGCGGGGGCGGGGGAGGGGGCGGCAACGTTGGCGGAAGCAGCGGTAGACGAAGAGGAAGCGACCGGAGTCTATCCGGAAGTGCTCACGAGCTCACCGTGTGCGGGGTCCGCGACGTATCCTCCGCGCCGCGAGTGCCGCACTCACACAGCCAATCGAACCTCACCGACATCCCATACAGGTACGCGGTGCTTGCGGGGACCCGAGAGTGGTCCCCGAAAAAAAAAAAAAAGGAGAGAGCGTATATCTGTCCCTCTCGCCGTTCTCCGGCGGGATATACTTTATATGCGCTTTTTAGCATGCTTATTCGTTTGCGCGACACCGCGGGTGGAACGTGGCCGATATACGATAGGCTTATCCGTGCGCGTCGTATTTTCAGGGGAGATCTACCACGACTCATAAAGATACCTTCGAGGCCTAGTCCACGTAGTATTCAGTAAGTCACACGACCGATGCATATCACGGTTCTCTCTCTCTCGATTAAGTGTGGGAGCGGGCGGCGAACGCGAGAAGCGCCTTTTCTTAATCAACATCCGTGTTCGCGCCTTTTCCTTCTGTCGTCTCGCCGCGACACGAGGAAGAACGCGAGCCAATTGATTAATTAACGCGCTCCAGCGCACGCACGCTCCACTGTACCTTCGTATATATATCCAGACTCTTTGGCAAATCCTCTTATCTCGGTGTGTGTGTTTGAAAAACTTTCGCACTCTCCAAGAAATCATGCGTTTATGGAAAGCTCACAAAATGTGTGTAAAGCAGTATCGTTGGTAATTGTATTGGCGATATTAACGATGCTCTCTGTTGTCTTTGAGATCCTCTTTGATAAAAGTCTCAGTGTTTTTGAATACTATCGAATACTGTCGTATTTTGTGCGGAGTGTTTCAAACAGACTGCGTTAATTATTCTATCGAAATATGTGCACACGCCTTATTGATATATAATTATATACATATGTTTTATATATATTAGAGTAAAATAATAATTAAAATAATTAAAAGTATGTATATATATATTTTTTCTTATTGAGACACTCCGTACAATTAATGTTGATATTGTGTTGTCCGTATCAAATTACTTATTTCTCTGTGTTCCTATCTGTAATTAACATACTTTATGCAACACATGCGATACTTGTCAAGCACATTAATCTGCACAAAATGACAAAGATATATGTATCCATCTTTTATGTTGTAAAATCCCTTTTCTGATCATTTATTTAATATCCCGTGAAAAAAAAGAATTTTTCGCATAATCGCGAAAAGCTACGTTGTATTCGACAATGCGCGACACGAGGACTCTAAGGATTGAAACTCCACGAAAACACGCGACTCGTATCCAGATCCGTCATAGGATGTCCCGGAATTATCACTCGTTGCTCGGACCACGGATTTTTCCAACAGGATAGTTCCGGGACACCTGGCGCACACGTATGTATAGAGATACCCATACTTTTCCTAGTCGTTGAATGGTACCACAGCATGCATGTATATCGACTAATTGAGTTGAAAAGAAAAGAACACGCGTATACAGACACATATACAGATACACGCACACACACACACACACACATAGACACACGCAAAAAAAAAAAAAAAAAAAAAAAAAGAAACACGCGTAATACACCGCGCGTGGAAATTTGCTGAGAGCAAACGGTGAAAACTAAATATAATAAAGTTCCTGTTGTCAGGGATGCTGGCGCGACGGAAGTAGCGGTTCGCCCTATGGACGACGTATGCCCGTGGGAATCCGCGCCGGGTCCGAGCTCCGAGCACGGTGCAGCGGACGCCGCTGCCTCTGGCGGGACAGCATCAGCTGATCAGGCCCGACACGTGTGGGACAGCGGCGGTCATATGACAGCTCACGCCGCCGAGGCAGCGCGCGCCTCTCGCAAAAATTCGGCGCAGCTAGACTCCTGCAGCTCGTCGTCGGACGTCAGCCTCGCCATCGCGGAGGTCTCCGAACGGCTGCGCAAGTCGTGTAGCTTGCAACATAGCGGTAGCATAGGTCGGTTCGCAATCGCGGCAGACGTCCTTCGGTAAAAGATCTGTGAAGTGCACACCCTGAAATGCGAACTTTTACCAAATTTATATGACATTCGGTTGTCCAGAATTTTTTGTCCACCTTTCAAAAAAAATTAAAAAAGAAATTTGAATAAATTTTATCATGAACACTCCTAGATGCGTTTTTTTAATTATCTATGTATTTCGATATGTATCCCTAAGTGCAATTATTTTAAAATGATAAATTAAGGTACATGTAGAGGTGTTCATAATAAAATTTATTAAAATTTTTATTTTAATTTTTTTACATGGTGGACAAAAAATGATTATCTTATGGACAATCGAATGCCATATAAATTTTGGAAAAATTCGCATTTTGGGGTGCCAACTTCATAGATCTTTCAGTAAGAAGGATTGATCGCCCGGGTACAGAGAGAGGAACTCTAAATTAAACTACAATTATTTTTCTCGGAACGTACAGGTACAGCGACTTCAGGCCCCGGCCCGATAACGCGAAATTATTCTACCTGCTCGGCAAGCGGCCGTATCAGGTTATCAGAGATGAGTCGCGCGTCCGTGTCATCCTGCAATTATCCGTCGCCCCAGCAATCATTCGAGTACTCCCACGTGGTCGTCGAGAGGGTGGAAGAGAGATTGTCCCTGGAAAAAATCGTGCCCGAGGAGGAGTCTCCCGTGGAATCCGTCGTCGTTAAAGAGAGCCAGCCGAGTCCCAAGTAAGTAGCTTTAATTCCTGATATACGTTCGTATTCTATTTCAACGAAATATCAAAGACAGGGTGTCCAGCAGACTCAATGAAAAAAATTCCCTGACTTTTTCAGATTTTTCAAGACCAGAAATTTATTTTTCCCTTTTAGTATATTATTTAGTATTATTTTTTAGTATTATTTTTTCCAAATATATAATTTGCATATATCTACGATTTAATGTTAAATCCTCGAGATATTTTTCTCACGAATGAAAAGGTTCGGAAGTTAAAACAAAAATTTAAATCAATTATAGAATCTGTATTATGTACGACAAATGTAGAATAATGTGACAAAAATCCAGATAAATAGTAAAATTTCCTGAGTTTTCCCTGACCGCTGGACACCCTGAAAGACGAAATACGCATTATTTTCCTCCGTTCTCAGGACGAGCGCGAAGGCGCCTCTGATCAGCATCAGCGCGATCGTGGGCGATCTGCCGAGCGACAACTCCACGATGGAGAACGTCGACGAAGACGCGAGCGAGAGTTGCACGGCGAGGGATGTCGAGGAGCTCGTGACCGAGGAAAGAACGAGGGCCGAGGTCGACTCGCGGGCCGACACCGGAGCGGATGTGTCGCCGGTGGCCGAGGAGGAACCGGCGACGACCGAGGAGCCGCCGGACGAGGCGCAGGTCGTCCCTGTCTGGGAACCGGACGCCCGACAGGAGGACCGACCGGCGACGGCGCAGGCGGCGCCTCGGGAGCGTGACAATAATGTTAACGAAGTATGCCCGTGGGAGGACGAGTAAGTACCTGATGACCTGATCCGACTCCTAATCTTATAGGATTACGCTTGCTCTCCCCGCGAAAAAAAAAAAAAAAAAAAAAAGAATTCTCTCCGTACTCTCACACACGTAAATTTTATCTCACATTATAATGTTCTTTTATTCGTACGGAGCTCGTACTGTCTGTTTCAGGGAAAACTGTAGAGTGGATGCGCCCTATGTAAAAACCTATGCGACTTTAGGTTACCTGTAATATTTTTGTGTCGTGTTGATATTTAAAGAAAAAGTATCTTTGCATTTTACATTTACAACAGACTCACACAAATTCGATTTCGATTTTCACTTTGATCCACTTTATCGAGCTCGCGTGTTCAGACCGTTTCGTTACACGCGGCCAAGTTTCAATTATCACACCGCGTTAATTGAACGACAAGCATTTCTTTTTGTTGGAACAAAGCTTGCGAAAGTAATGAAGGATTAACTAATCAAATTGGATAAGTGACGGTGTTTTGCAAGGGGAAGGATCGCGAGCAATTTGCTCGATAGAATCGAGATATTTCAACGCGAAAATATATAAACGTCGTAAAACGATACATCGGCATCTAGTCGCTATGAATATTTACACCTATGGCCTAACGATCCGATTTGCTTCGGAGAGTCAGAAAGGATTCATAAAACGTATGAATCCATTTAAATCTCTTTCGTCTTTTCCGACTTCTATTAAACCACTACTATATTTACCATTTCCTACGCAAACCATATATTAGGGGAATGCGTAAAATGATTTGTGAAAACGTTGAAGAGACGGGCGCCGTTGTTTTAAAGAGACAGTAGAGATTGTTAGTCTCTAACGTTGTTTGTAGATTACCGTAGTTTTAAACCGTAGATCGGAAAAACCTGATAGAAGAGAGATGTGCCGCGTGAGACACAAGTATAGATAGATACGTAGATAGATCGTGTCACTCTGTGTTGAGTAAACGTTCAAAATGGCAGTCGCCAGACAGGGATAATTCACGAATAAATTAATAATGCGCGCGGATTGGGAACTCGTTATATATTCTCCTTTCGATCCAGTATCTCGCGTAAACGCGCGCTCGTAGGGTGCCAGCCAAATTTGAGCCCTTTGGCCGCTCTCCATGGTCGTGCTTTTTCCGGATACTCGCTTCTTCGCGAATCATTCGCGAAACGTTACGTTTCGATATGTCCCGATATGCGTTACAGAGTATTAAAAAACCACACGATTCAACCCACCCCAAATTCACCGGACTTTGATGAAGAATTTCGTAACGAAGAGATGTCGCGATTTTTTTCATAAATATATTCTCCAGAAAAATATATATTCTATTAATATTGCATCCCAATGTGTGGCGCGTAACGATAATTTAAGTGCATCGATGTACACGTTTTCGTCTTACTTACAATTAGAGTAATCGCCTAGAGTTTAGCGTGTCTTACATTGTGTCTTACGAGCGTTCGATATTAACTATTGACAAATTTATCGTGACCTGATATATCGTAAGTGTCTAAATAACAGATATTTCGTGTTATATATATATATATATATATATATATATATATATACACACACGCCGCTTTGTCGCAATCGCGTCGAACTGATTACAATCGATAATAATCGACAGCGATCGCGGTGACCTTACGGCGTTTTCACTCGTTGATCCTCGTTTGAGCGAATCGCGCTCGCGAATTATTTGACAGAAAAATAAGTAAAAAAATAAAAATATATCCGTGCGAATTTTCAGATTAGAGTGTGTTAAATTCTTGGAATGTCCGTTTCGCTGGATCGAATCTCTGGTCCTGTTACTGCCCCAGGAACTTTGATTCGACGCTACAAACCGAAAGAGAGAGGCTATTTAAAAAAAAATTACATGAATTGTGCTCTTAACTGTAACCTCGATGTTTCTTCGTGTCTAGTTTAAAATTTAGAACGAAAGAATTATTATTACACTAATTATTGACAACATACATTTGTCTCATGTTCAATCGCGAACTTTATGACGATTATCTGACGGCCGATTACTCGTTTTCTTCGATAGAAAAAATGGATAGCTTAGCTGATGGAAACGAAGAATGATCACCTAATTATGCCGCGTTTAAAAAAAGGAAAGAAAAAAGGGACGGAAAACCGAATGTAGGATTCGTGATGGGATTTTAATATGCTTGCTAATTTTTTACTCTGACTGAATATTGAATTTTTAAATCTCAATTGATTTCAATATAAAAGTTCTTCGATTACCGATTTTGCAATGATTTACTATGCACGGTAGCAAGTGCGTGAAGCACTCGAAAGTGAAATAAACTCGATTTTAAGTAATGATTTAAATGCAACGAACCGTGTAAAACTGGTCTGGACACGCAAGCGTAATCATAAGAACTCTAAAAAAGTATTCATGACGATCGTACTGTTAATTCAGCAGCTCAACTTAAGTATCATAACGTTCTTATAATAGGTTAGCCGATAATAAGATTTAGAGTAACACGTCCCGCGCGAGATTGTTGACAGGAGGAAATGAAAATAATAATATAAACTATACCGCGCGATTTCGTTCGCAATCGCATAAGCGAATCGCCGAACTACTTTTTTCGATTCGCCCGCGTAATTTTCTTGTACGAGTTGAAATTGCACTATGGTCAAAACTTTGAGAGAGGACTCGCACGGAGGACTCGGAAAAAACTCGGATGTGCGTGCTGGAGAAAAAAACGCGAATTCGAAAGCAGTGAACGAGCCACGGAGCAAATCAAAAAATATTACTCGCCTAAGGACGCTATTCTGTGTAAATAATTTCCAATATCATCGCGTACGTCGCACTTTTTCTGGTGTCTTGAAAGATATATTCATCGCAAGCCAAAGACCTTGTTGTCGTACAACGCGGGGGCGCGCACAAGTTTCACAAAGTATCCCTTCGTGTTCGGTGTACTTATTGTTAGAATCGCGAGTTGAACAACAATTTTCCAACACAATTGTATGGCAAAATAAATTTTCTAAATTTTATTTTGCATTATTTACGTGTCAATAATTATGTTAAGCGTATATACTATATACGACATTGTTTAACTGCAATTTGTATAATCAAACCACGATTTCGACCTATATTCGTCGACGATCGTTTAGTATAATTAAAATCAGAGCCGATATGGATCTCGTTGCAATCTTGAGCGCGCATCCATCACATATCGCATTTTGTATAACTTTAAACCGCGACGCCTGGTGTACATCGATTACACTTTTAGCATGCCATTTATCAGAACTGCAGGTTTTAGCTCGGGAAAAGTTACGTCGAGAGAGATTATAATAATGTTTAATATAAAAACACACTCTGAAACATTGATAACAATCCCTTTGCTATTCCGATGTTGCGATTAATTCTTCAGCGTTAGAAAAGGACGTTACAATTATTTCGAGCATAATTAATCTGGCAGAGATGGCACTTATATAATATAACGAACGAAATGTGATTAGCGCTCGCATAACTAGCGTATATGTAGGCAAAATGAATATAGTTACGAATAAAGTCCAGAGTATCTTTCTAAAATATAATGTATACTGCATATATTATTATGTAATGAGAGAAATTAACTTGCATAAATTATTCGTGTTTTGCAAGTTGCACTTTTTAAAAAAAGTCTGTAAGATCCGGTGCCACGATACATATATATATATATATACACACATATATATATATATATATATATATATATACACACATATATATATATATATTGTAACATTGCTTTATACAACGTTTCAAAGTGTTTCGTTTTATAGAATGTTTTCACAGAATAATTGTACATATAATTGTTAAAATAGTATTTATATATATTTTCGTCATACATTTATGAATTATATTTTTATCTAGATATAACGAGTATGTAACATTTTTGTAGTAAACGCAATAATATTTTTATTGCATTTATTACAAAAAAGTTGAAAAAAACTGTCGCAAAATAATTTTCATTTCATATACAATCCCCCCCAAAAATAATAATTATTATTTAGAAAAAAATGTATCATGTGGATTAAATGAGTTAAACGCCGCGATTTTTCTTAAATTGGTAAAAAGAAAAATGTACAGAATATTTTTATCATTAGAAATAAAACTCTAAACGTGAATCTATCCGATCTAACCAAAATTTACGAAATTTAGACAACAATATGCACCAATTAAAAAACCAGCGCACTATTGCTTTTACGCTGGATTAACATTTAATTATTCGATTTGCCATGAATCTCTGTAATTAGTCGAGTGCGATATTATTTTGCGCCAAAATGCGAACTTTCGCATAATAACGCATAAACGTGAAGCAATTGTTCAAGTGTGTATTTTCACACAACAGCCTAAGATGTAAATGCCATCGATAAGCGAGTGAAAACATTTGCGAATGAATCTATGTATTAGATTTAAGGTCCCCAGGCATCCTAGAATTTAATTACCTATGGACGTAAAAGTTCCCTAATTAATTCTGAAGATTTGAGAACTTAAGGATTTTAGATCTATCTTTTAATATGAATCAGTTGGTTCAAAATGCTTGATTTTAAAGAACGAATTCTCTTACGAATATGCACAAGGATCTGAGATATATCGGTCTAAAGATCTGAAAATTTTATTCAAAGTTTTTGAGAATCTCTTCTTAATTAAATTTATTTTTATTTCAATTTAATCGCGCAATTAAAAGCAAATTGTATTTTTGTCACGCGATGTATCGTTGAGCATACAAATTTCAGAGAGATTCACACAAATCATTTACTGATTTTTTTTTTTTCAACAAAAAACATTTTGCACAAAACGCGTATGGTGCCATATATTTACACAGAGCCTAAAATGAAAATGCTAGTGACAATAGTATATGTTGCGTCGTTAAACTTGAGACAAGAAAAAATGAAAACGAATTACGTAGATACAAAATCATTTTCAAAATTTATACTCCTCTCCCTGGTTTCTTAATTAACTTATCGCGTTGGAATCAAATCGATGTCGTTTCGATTATTCCATTTTATTATCAATTAATATTATCACGCGATCAGTTTTAAATCAATCTGATCGTAAACACTGTGATTTATTTTTCATTAATCTTAGCATCTTTAACTCTGTATATTTCTCTCCCTCTCTCTCTCGTAATATATTATTCGATATTAAATAGAGAATAATTAAAATATGTGCTTTAGATTTCAGAATGTTATGTTTAAATTGCACTGCCAATCAAGTGATAGTTAAATCAGAATTATTATATTTTTCATTAATTTAATAAATGCAGTAACACAACATATATCGCATAGAATGGTGTGATGCGTGTATTAATCGCTATCACACAACGCAACGACATCGAATCGTCGAGGATAAAGTACGAACGCAGATATAATTATTGAAATCACTCACCGACAGCAAACCTTTCGTCGACGCCGTCGTTTTCTCGTCCGTTGACTCCTCCATTTCGTGGTAGATTGTAAAAACGCAGTGAATTATACTCACAAATTGATCAACACACTGATAAGCGATCGTCCACTCCCGCACTAAACTCTTTACGAATATCGAGAGATATCAAGAGACACGGTAGTGTCTCGCGACCAGTTAAGGACGTAGCCGAGACACCGTGTATCTTAACGCGAGTCGGACATTTGAGTCTTTATAATATTTCGAATTCTCAATAACGGCTGAAGCAATCGAGTTTATACTAGACTTAATCGATAGATTGAGTTTGAATTATATAATAAAAGTGTCTTTATTTCTGCTCTACGTGATTTGTAAGCAGAGATATAAAAATGCAAAGTCGAAATATGAAAAATTTCTTTTAAGAAACGTCCCCGTCATCATTGTCATCATCGACCACGCAAACATAGTAGTATCGTGCTACACGTATTCACACGTATACAACACATGCGCACACATATATCACACGTACACAACACATAAATAGATGCATGTATTGGAAATGTCCATCTCGCACGTTTTACAACAGACGGCGATAGTTGCCCTCCGCTATATTGACAGCGTGCGGGGTTAGATATTTTCAATCAATCAACGTGCGGGTTAGATATTTTCAATTTCAATTTTTACATTCAATTTTAATGTTATTATTTGCAAATTTATGGTCATAATATTTCAATAATATTTCAATTATATAAATGCCTATGTATGAGTATGCATATATTTTTAATAATAGTTGCCCTCCGCTATATTGACAGCGTGCGGGGTTAGATATTTTCAATTTCAATTTTTACATTCAATTTTAATGTTATTATTTGCAAATTTATTGTCATAATAATTTATGTGCAAGTTTACAGTCTGTGATACAAAATCAGATATTTTGCTATTATTTCAATAATATTTCAATTATATAAATGCCTATGTATGAGTATGCATATATTTTTAATAATTTTCTTAATTAGCTTCTATATATTTTTTCAGTTGTACATCAAGCAGGTAGCATTATCAGCTCACTTGTGAGCATGGGTTGGGCAATGGCTAGTTATCATCGCAGCATTCGATTAGCTTAACAAGATAAATCTAATATCAGTGCTATAGGAACTATTTTACAATTTTTCTGGCATTTTCTTATTGCAGGTACATATATATCCAATAATTAATATACAAAATTAAATATTATTCATCACACACTTTGTATCAAAATAATATATTTTTAAAATTTATTTTAAATTTATTTAATCATTTTTATCATTGTGATTGTAGTGGCAAGGATCTTATTGCTCAGTGTCATTGCAAGCATCTGGCCTGTATATACCATAATATATTGTGTAATACATTGGCTAAGTATGACAATATAGATTTTGATAGATTCCCATGGAATATTGGAATTTTGTCGGACTTACAGTCATCCACCACATATGCAGCCTACAATTAAAGAACG